GGGGTGGCTTGAAGAGTGAGGCGGGGATGGCAAGGGGCGCCCAGGACTGGGAGGTGATTGTGAAAGCAAACGGGGTCGCTCGTCAGATTTGGGTGTCCAGACAGCCACAGGAAGCTCCCTCTTGTGATCCAGGGGAGATGTATGTCATGTGGTGACATGAAATTCGTGTTGACAGCCTCCCCTCCCCCATGGTCATGCCCAGGGCCCCACGGAGGATTTCGTGGACACCATTTTTTCCTGATACTTCCCATTATTTGTACTGTATTCTATGGAACGTGCGCCTGCAACGCCAGCCTGCCACTCCTCACCGTTGCCCCTCGCGAGATGAGGGGGGGTCACCACTGCCCCCCTGCCCCTGCTGTCGTGCTGCCACCCTGCGCACCCCCTCCTGACCCAACCTTGTTGTATGTGACACCCAGCATGGACTCCTGGGTTCGGCCCGGGCAGTCCGGGGTATCCGTGGCATGTCGCATAGCTTGAGTCATGTCGAGGGGGTGGCATGCGTCATGCCCGGCGCCCCATCCCGCAGCAAAGGCAGGGGAGCTGGGCGCACTCTGGGCGCTGAGGGCGGGTGATCAATCGGCTCTGGAGGGTGGGGGCCGGGTCCGGGTCACCCTCCACACAGCCAGCTGCAGCAGCACCAGGCTCGCGTCCGCCCCGGGGTCTTGCCCGGCGGCCCGGGCCCCTCGGCGTGGGTCAGGGCATGTGTGCCTGCTGCGTGTCGCTGCGCCACACCGACTGTTGGGATGTTGGGAGGGGAAAGGAGGAATTCAGATGGAGGAGGCGTTGGGAGGGAGGGCTTGCGGAAGCCCTGGATGGTCGAATCCAGTGGCCATGCTCGACTGACGCGGCAGACGCATGCATGCATGCAAGGTCTGCAGGCAGACGAAGGTGCAGCGACGCAATGCACGGTGATGATGAGCAGGCCGCCACAGCGCTGCGCCAACTCCCCTCCCGACCACGCTGCACACCTGACGGACTGGTCTCGAAGGGTGGCCCGGAACTTTGCAACCACTCCGACAACCGATCTGCGCGAGGGAGGAAATGGTCTTTGTGGGCGGCGAGCTGGGCAAGCCTGCACGTCCGGGCACCAGGGCTCAGGGGGAGCATGCAGCCCAGACATGCCACCTTGGCAGCGACTACAAGCACCCATGACCCGTCCTCGCATGGCCCAGCGTCTCGGCAGAGGGTGGTTGGGCGTACACTGTAATGTGGGCTACCCCTGCCGAGTGGCGTGCCCCCAGAATCACACAGCCCCCACACCTGCTGCGTCTGTCCTGCCGCCGGCCTTCTCCAATTGTGCAAGTGCATCCAAATTCTCGAGCGTGAGCAGACTCCTGAACGACGGGGCCGGAATCCCCGCGTCCGATGAGTCTTGTGTTACTGAGGAGTAGCGAGCGCTGCACAAGGTGGGGGCCGGGGAAAAGGGAGGGTGTGGGTGGGCGGTGGTGAGGGGCAAGATCGTGCAAGGATCGTGCATGTATGTATGCCATCCGCATTCCCCAGGCTTGCAATCTGTCGCGGCGCCGGCCTGACCGATCCTGCCTGGCAGGAAATCGGCAATCCATTGGCTCCCCAGCACGCACATACTCCTCCAAAAACATCCGTGCATCATCGCCCCGGGCCGAGAGCATACCGCGAGGCGCCGCCTTGAGCCTCCACGGAGCCCTGGGGCGCCCTGCTCGCCGGCCCTGCAGGCGCCACCCAGTCCGACGTGTTGGTGGTCCTGGAGATGTAGGCCTGGAGCGTGGGATCGTGCGCACGCTCCGGGACGTGGGCCAGCCCCGGCGAGGTGCTGGGCGGCAGCCCCGGCGGCAGGGGCGGCGGTTGGCGGCCGTTGGGCGGGTCCAGGGCCGTGGCCTCCTCCAGGATGATGTCCCCGCTCTGCTCTCGCAGCGTGGGCTTGTTCAGGAGGTGGGCCCCTGTGGCCGAGGCGGAGTGTCGGGGGGATGGGGAGGCGTGGGAGTCGTCCTCGCCCCCCATCCCTGTCGGGCGCCGCATGCCAGGCCCCCTGGAGGGCTGATGGGAGACGTCCGGCTGCAGCGGGGGGTCCTCTCCCCCTCCCGTGGCCATTCCTCGGGATTCCGGGGGAGCAGTGCGTGGCTGGCCGGGTGGTTCGGGCCGCGGGGAACCAGGCTCCTCGCCCACGCCAGTTTATCTGCACCGGCTAGGGAGGGGGTGCGAGTGGGTCGGGGGGTGGCCAGGGGCGAGTTCCGGTGATTTTCGATTCCAAATCACTGCAATGAAGTGCGTGTACTCCCTGCGTGCAGCTCGCCTGTGCTTGTCGGACAGCAGACCCCACGCGCGCCAGACCACAAGGGAAGGGAAGCCCCGGAGACGACAGCCCGGGACACAGGCTGATAGGGCAGGTATGTAGTATGGAGCGTTACAATGTGTAGTGGAGCGCAGATGGCCGTCTGGAGGCCCGACTCGGTGTCTGCTTCACCCAACAGCAATTTCATACCCGAGATTCCGAGTGGACGCGCGCACCTGCCTTGAATCAGATCGATCGTGCCACGGATGCCCAGACAGAGGGGAATACCAGGCCATTTTCCTGCATATAATAAGGAAGCACACTGATGTAATATGTCGGACGAAGGCTCGTCGGCATTTCAACGGATGTGCAGGGGTTTGGGACAGGGCCCCCAAGGCCTTAGGCCCCCCCGCTGGCACGGCCTCTGACCCGCCCTAGACCCGGGGCGAGACACTCGAACACCGAGGTATGACGGCGGTGGTCGCCATCCATGGCCAGGATCCGCAGGCCGACTGGCAGGCCAGCGTGCCCACCGGCCTGGCCGCTGCCTACACCGTCCTGGGGGTCCTAGGTAGGGTGCTGGGGTACAGGTTGGGATGCAAGGCGCCAGCAGCACGCCTTGAGGGGCTGATTTCCATGACCTTTGCGATTCGCTGCCACCCAAAGTACCGCCTGCCTCCCTGACTGAGTTGGGATCACCATAGCCGAGATCCGTGCCCACCCACCCGCCCCCAAAAGGGGAGGGCACCTTTGGCAAGGTGTACCTGGTGCGCACACGCTCCGACCCGGGGCGCCTGCTGGCCGCCAAGCACATCAAGCCGGGGAAGGAGGGCGAGGGCGTGTGTGCCACGGCCCTGCGTGAGATCAGCCTGCTGCGCACGCTGCGCCACATCAACATCGTCAGGCTAGATGACGTGCACATGAACGTCAAGGTGCGGCTGCCTGGAGGTGGAATGGTGGGGAGGGTAGGTGGCCAGAGGGGGGGGGAAATTGGGAGGGGCAGGCTGACGATGGTAAGGGCGGGTGCCTTTATGTGTCCGGGGCAGTCGCCGCGAGCGACACTGGCCCCGCAGGACGGCAGCCGACCCCTCCCTCTCCCCCCAGAAACTCCAACCACCCCACTCCCCACCCCACTTCCCCTCTCCAAAAACACCCCCTCAGGACCTGTCCCTCTTCCTCTGCCTGGACTGCGCCGCGCACGACGTGTACGAGATCCTGAAGTTCCACCGCGACTGCGGTACCCAGATGCCGCTCTACACCTTCAAGTCCGTGGCCTGGCAGCTGCTGCGCGGCGTGGCTCACCTGCACGCCCACTGGGTGCTCCACCGCGACCTGAAGCCCAGCAACCTGCTGCTCATGGGTCCCGGGGACGAACACGGCACGCTCAAGATCGCCGACTTCGGGCTGGCCCGCGTCTTCCGCAACCCGCTGGATCCCCTCTGGCACAACGGCGTCGTGGTGACCATCTGGTACCGCGCGCCGGAGGTGCTGCTGGGCGCGCGCCACTACGGCTCGGGTGCGCCCTGAGGGGGGTGTTCAATTTTTTTAGGGGGGGTGGGGGGGGCGGCTGCCGGTGTGTGTGCATCTGTGGATGTGAAGATTATCAGTGCCTGGGCACTGTGCGATGGCCACCCGGGCCCAGCAGAGCAAAAACTTGGTGTCTTCCGGCCTGACCTGTTGCATGATCCGCAGGGGTAGACGTCTGGGCGGCGGGGTGCATCCTCGGGGAGCTGCTGACGCTGCGGCCGCTGTTCCAGGGCGAGGAGAGGGCCGGACTGGAGCATGGCGTCTTCCAGGCCGACCAGCTGCAAAGGTGGGCGGCCCCAGGGTGGGTGAGGGAGGGGGAGAGTGGAGCGTGCATGTGCTGCCCAGCAGTTCATTATGTAATAGGTGGGGTGTGGGCTGCAAAATGGGGCCCGGAAGGCGTGCCTTGTGCCATGGGCGGGAAGGGTTGCTGCAGCGAATATCCCAAGGACAGCCCCCGGCCTCGTCTGCTGTGTGGATGCGCCAACCTCTACCCCCTCTTCCCTCTTCACTCCGACAGGATCTTTGCGGTGATGGGCCACCCAGGTGCGGGCGGCTGGGCTGACCTGGAGGCCCTGCGGCACTGGCGGGACAACACGGAGAACGTGCGGCTGCGGCGGCCCGACCATGGCTCTCGCTCCCTCAAGCAGCTGCTGTGGGAGGAGTCGCCCCTGCTCAGGTGAGACTGGGAAAGGGGGTTGCCAGACAGTCGTCAAGAGGCTGCGATGAGTATGAGGCACGAGAGGAGCAAAAACTGTTGCCAGAAAACGCCGAGTCTGGTCAGTAACTTGTCCCATACCCCCATGTTGCATGGCGATTGCCCTGACCCCCCTCTCCCTACCATGCAGGGCCATGCCCAGCCCCGAGACCCTGGTGGACCTGATGGGGCGCCTGCTGGCGCCAGACCCCAGCAAACGCATGTCGGCGCAGGAGGCGCTGGCTCACCCTTTCTTCCAGTTGGTGCGCACCTCGTTGAGGGCTCGGGTGGGGGGTCGAGACGGGTGCATGGGGATCTTGCACGATTGATCATGGGCATCAAGATTGGTCCCAGGCAACCCCAAACACGATGTGCCCGACGCAGGACCCCTTGCCGGGGATGAACGCGTTCGTGCAGTGTGGGAGGCAGCTGGTAGCATACCCGTCACGCCTGCCGCGAGCCTGAAGGACTAGCACCTTGTGTGAACAGACGGCTCGATGCCAGGCATGGCAAACAGAACCAACCAATCCCGGGAAGGGTTGCTGCAGCGAATATCCCAAGGACAGCCCCCGGCCTCGTCTGCTGTGTGGATGCGCCAACCTCTACCCCCTCTTCCCTCTTCACTCCGACAGGATCTTTGCGGTGATGGGCCACCCAGGTGCGGGCGGCTGGGCTGACCTGGAGGCCCTGCGGCACTGGCGGGACAACACGGAGAACGTGCGGCTGCGGCGGCCCGACCATGGCTCTCGCTCCCTCAAGCAGCTGCTGTGGGAGGAGTCGCCCCTGCTCAGGTGAGACTGGGAAAGGGGGTTGCCAGACAGTCGTCAAGAGGCTGCGATGAGTATGAGGGACGAGAGGAGCAAAAACTGTTGCCAGAAAACGCCGAGTCTGGTCAGTAACTTGTCCCATACCCCCATGTTGCATGGCGATTGCCCTGACCCCCCTCTCCCTACCATGCAGGGCCATGCCCAGCCCCGAGACCCTGGTGGACCTGATGGGGCGCCTGCTGGCGCCAGACCCCAGCAAACGCATGTCGGCGCAGGAGGCGCTGGCTCACCCTTTCTTCCAGTTGGTGCGCACCTCGTTGAGGGCTCGGGTGGGGGGTCCGAGACGGGTGCATGGGGATCTTTCACGAATGATCATGGGCATCAAGATTGGTCCCAGGCAACCCCAAACACGATGTGCCCGACGCAGGACCCCTTGCCGGGGATGAACGCGTTCGTGCAGTGTGGGAGGCAGCTGGTAGCATACCCGTCACGCCTGCCGCGAGCCTGAAGGACTAGCACCTTGTGTGAACAGACGGCTCGATGCCAGGCATGGCAAACAGAACCAACCAATCCCGCCGGTCCGTGTATGTGCTGATTTTTCAGTTGAAATGCGTACTGAATGTTTTCCTACCCCGTGGGCCTTCCACTTCCAAGTTTATGGGCTTGTGCTAGGTTGTCACGTGAGTCGTGACGAAGGCGCCCTGGTCCTATGGCCCCCTCGACACACTCTCGGAAGACCCCGCCATGCTTCTCCCCTCTCCCATTTTTACATGATGCGGATCGAACAATAGCCCAGTTGTCCTACGTCGAGGGATCCTGGTGAATAGGTGACCGGGCTTCCCTGAGGCCAGAGCGGTGTCGAACCGGTCCGGACGCTGATGTCCCTAGCTTCGACAACGAGTCTCGAGTCCCAGTCCTCATGTAGCTCGCCTAAAGCCTCAGTATGGGAATCTTGGGCGTCCCCGCCAAAGACGCCCTCCCAGGAGAGTTGTCGTCGGAGTTGCCTCGACACGAGCCCCCATGAGGCTCCTGCCGACATCAACATGTGAGCCCCGGGGGCCATCAGGAAGGTCTGGATGGGCAGGTCTCCAGCCTCCCATGCATCTGGTATCGTATCGTTTCATTGGTCGCGGGAAGGTTGCAGCGGAAGTAGGGTTGCAATCGTGATGCGGGGGCGGGGGTGTCGGAGGGGAAGGCTGGGCAGAGCGCCTTCTCCCCCAGCGGCGCACCCCTCTACGGACATCCCTTGCCCTCCTCCAATCTCCATCCCCTTACTCCCAACCTCCCTCCAAGCCAACACACCTGTCTCACACCTGCCTTCCCTCACCACTACCACCGAAATACCTGCCACCCTGCCAGGCTGCCGGAGCACCTCCTGCTGGCCTGCTTCTCCTTCTGCGACTGGGACACGCGCTTCAACACCCTGCCCCGCGTCTGCTGCGCCTGGGCGGCCCTGGCCCTGGCCCCCCACCCCCAGCTCTGGGAATCGGTCACCGTCGACTTCACGGCGCACATGTGGCTGCGCGCCGCGCGGCTGACCGCCTGGCTGGCACGGCGCTCGCCCGCGGTGCGCGCGCTGTCGCTGCTCAACTCCGACACCAGCGCCGCACCGTGGGCGGGCGGGTGGGGCGCCGCTGCGCGCGTGCGGAGCCCCATCCACGACTTCTACCCCCACACGGGCGAGGGCCTGCGACGTGTGCTGGAGCCTCTAGCTGCGCTGCGCACGCTGTGCGTCGTGCGCTGTGACGACCTGCTGCAGCGCGGCGCGCTTGCGCCCGCGCTGGCCGGCCTGCGCCACCTGCGCCGCCTGGAGGTGGCCACCGCCGGCCCCGCTACCTGGGCGGGCGTGGACTGGAGCGCGCTGCCGGAGCTGCGCCACCTGGACCTGCGCTGCGGGCCGCAGGAGGGGCTGGGCGCGTTCAACCCCTGGGGCGACGCCGAAGCCGACGCTTCCCCCTCCCCCTGGCCGGCCTGACAGGGCTGGAGTCGCTGGCGCTGGCCTGCCCCGGCGTCACGGCCGTGCCGGACGAGCTGGCGGGGCTCCGCGGGCTGCGTCGCCTCGCGCTCTCCAGCTCCGCGCTGCGGGAGCTACCGGCGGCGGTGGGGGAACTGTGTGAGCTGCGGGAGCTGTCGCTCACCGGCTGCGCCCTGGGCGGCTGGGGCCGCGACGGCGCCGTCCAGGGGTAGGATCGATCACATGACGTGGACTTGGGGTGGAGTCAGGGGGTGCATGGAGGAGGAGGCTGCCCATGCCATGCTGCTGCCTCCAGCTGAAGCAGGGCGTGCCGCCTGCGTTTGTAGCTCAATGAAGCCACTCCGACTCAGTACCCACGTCCCCCTCTCTTGGACCACCAGGGGCCTGTGGGCCCTGCCACCGGAGCTGGCACGCTGCCCGTTGCAGCGACTGGATCTCATGCGCTGCGGCCTCACGGAGCTCCCCATCGCTGTGGGCACCCTGGGCCGGCTGGAGGAGCTGAACCTGGGCTGCAACCACATCAGCTGGCTCCCCACAAACCTCCAGGTCTGTGCCCCAGTGGGCGAGGGGGGGGGGGGAGAAGATCATGTCACTGACAACCCACTTCAGTGGTGTGTATGGCCGGGGGAGGGGGGAGGGGGGAAGGGGGGGGGGGCAGGAGTGGATATCCTGTCAAGAGTACAGAGGGGTCCTGCTGCCCAGTTTCTGGTATGGTGATGCTGGAAAATTCCACAGTGTTCTCCTCTCCTGACGTACCTCCTGCCCACCTCGTCCCACGCCCAGGGGCTCGCCAGCTTGAAGTCCCTTTCCCTGTACAGCAATGACCTGCGCGGCATCCCCCCCGGCCTGGCCTGCCTCACAAACCTGGAGGAGCTGTTCCTGGATGCCAACCCACGCCTGCAGTTTGGCGGGGGGGCCTCGGTCATCACCCAGCTCCCAAAGCTGCGCTGCCTGTCAGTCATGCAGGAGGGGTGCCACCACGACATGGTGAGTTGTGGACGTGAGAAGGGGGGTGGCTGTGGCATCAGAGGCAGGACGTGCTGAAGGGGGTCGACCTGTTTGGCCTCTCCACATCAACACCTCCCCATAAAGTCAATGGCCCCTCACCCTTGGTTCCCCCGACACAGGCATTTGATTTCTGGTCGGAGAGCTCCATCTGTTTCTTGCATCATCTGGACCTGACCCTCAAGAAACGTCACAATGGGAGGGGGTACGTCCGCCTGCACTGATGCGCTCTGCCCATGTATATTCAGGGGCCTTGCATGCCCAACGCGGCGGGGCGGCCCTATGTATGAGCAATACTAGCGCGTTAAAGCCAGCTGCGGCATGGAACCAAATGTGTGCAAATTATGAACTCAAAAGATCATGTCGACATGTAACAAGACTCTGTGCAATGCAAGAAGGTGGAGATCTCAAACCTGCTTGGCGCCCTCAGTTCCTCCAACGAAAAGGTTCATACCGACGGGAGGGATCCGCGCACACTCTTCCTCCCAAGCGGGCAGCTCCACTCAGCAAAGACGATCGCACCTTCACAATTGTATCGATCGGCTCATAGTTGGAGGATTATCTATTGCCAGGATGGCAGTAATTCCCTCCGGTGCCCTTGTGCTCGCTTAGGCAGGCTCAAGGCTGAGCTCTGCCAATTCATCGCGCAGCAGCTGATCTGGGGGAATCGCATCGCATGCCGGGACAGGAAGCAGCTCACTGTATGAAAAGAATTTGAACACATGGATGCACCCAGGAATGCCTGCCGCTTGCGTGGGGAGGAGGTCGTGTACGAGGGCGGGCGCCTCGTCTGCTTGGCCGTCGTACAGGTGCAGCAGATGGTAGCAAGGCGTGGGCCTGCATGCAGCACTGGAATGCTGCATGGAACGGCATGCTGGAGAACCTTGAACCATATGTTGTTGAGCTGCGGTTGTGGCATGGCCCATTCGTGCAACATACCAAGTGTTTCCAAGCACTTTCCCATGGCAGGTCACCCTCATGTTCTTCCCAGACGCATACGCCCTGGCGGGCCTTCACATAGTCGCCAGCGCGAGTGCACTCTACATATTGATTTCCCAGGGCGCACTGCCCTGCAGGGGGCAGCTCTGTAGGTTGGCGTGGCTGGGTGCCTGGCCAATGGCCCTCCTCCAAGCGCTGCAGGTGTGCAAGGGTGGATGCTGGAGTGTTGGGCGGGGGCGTACATTGCGGGGCCCCCCTTCCACATCTCCTGCGGTGTCTCTGCACCAAGCAGCTCGCTGCTCGTGTCATTGGTGTGCGCCTGCCCTGTGCTGATGGCGTTCTGCTGTGGCATGTTTGCTCCTGGAGCGGGAAGGACATTCCTGTGCCCCTTCATCGCCGCCTCCACCTTCACAGCTCACGCACTCCTTGCCCACAGCTGCTGGCGGCATTCAAGTCACTGGAAAGGGCATCCATCCTGTTTGTAGCATCCTGGCTGGCCCTGGGCGCGTCCTGGGCTCCACACGCGGGGGGCTGGCAGTCCAAACGAGGCGTACCTGGTCACTCCCTGGCCATCCTGGGTCTGGGCACCCTGGCACTGGGTGGGCACATGTGGCGGAGGAGGGTGTGGCCAGTAACTTTATTTTGGGAGATCAGGCAGGGCTGCTGGGAGCCCTCGAGAGCTAGCACGAATCCTGATGGCGTGCAGCACAGTGCCACCTGAGTTTCTTCCCTCCAACCCCTCTTCTTCATGATGCCCAGGCGTCGATCTGGTGGCCGGCAGCCGACCCAGCATCCTCGCTGTGGCCTGGCTGACCCTCTGGCTGGGCCTGGAGGTCTTCAGGGTGGCGTGGCGGGAGGGTTGGCGCCCACGGGCCCCCTCCACGCTCGGCCACGCGCTCTGGGCGCAGGCCGAGGACGCCCATGCGGCGCTGGACGCCATGTCAGCCACCTTCATCCAGCACGTGGAGGGCCTGGCGCCCCTCCTGCTCATGCTTGTCCTGCGTCTCGACAAGAACATCTTTGTGAGGCGTGGAGGGGTGCGGCGTTTTGTTGCGGTGCGGTGCGGGCAGGGAGAGGGGGAGGGGGGGGGGGCCCAGGGGGGGGGGGGGGGGGGGGGGGGTTGGACAGGCCGGACGCCGCAGGGGCAGCCTCTCCTCAAGCGGTTGCGGCTCGCCAGCGGGGTGCACAGGGATGCATGCAGCGGGCCATTGTCTGCCAGAGCATGGCCCGGCAAAATTCAGGCCTCACAGCCTCTCCAGGCCGGCCTCACGCCGCCAGCAGGCCGGCCTCGCTCACGACCACACCGCGCCCCACCTCGGAGCTCGGCGGCGGGGAAGCGGGGCTCTTCCCACGCACCCTCGGCCCAGGGGAGGGGCACGGCGGCCCTGGTCCCCGGGCCAAGGTTCCTCACTATGTTGCGTGCCAGGCTGAGGGCATGCTGCTCGTTCTCGGCCATGTGGTCCGTCAGGCCTGTGGGAAGCGGGGGGGGGGAGGGGGGCGGCCTGCTGG